TCGATTCGAGTATAAGCTCGTCAAAATCGGAGACCGTTTGGTAACTCAAATTGCGGTTTGAACCTTCCAACAGCGCTTTGAGCCCTTGATTCAGACTCATTTGGGCTCGGATTGGGTTGATCTTGGTGTCGTTGGGTTCGTATTTCTGAGACGCTCAATTTGACTATAAGCTTGCTGAAATCGGAGTTTGGGGGCTCCCAAAATTAATTTTTGAAGTTTCCAACTAGCTTTTGCCTCGAGATTCGTGCCCGATCAAGATAATTTTTGGAGTATGTATCAATTATATATGCATTCATATATTTTCATAGATTAATATTAAGCTAGGGGTGTCAAAACAAGTTAACGGATCAGGTTTGAGTTTGAACCAATGTTTACTGGATATGAATCCAGTCAACCTAAACTTGATCTGTTTAATAAAAAGTTGACTCAAATCGACCCGTTGGCTACACGGATGCCCCGATAACCTATTTTGATTAAAGAAATAAAAAATTCTAACTTGTTTGCTATAGAGTTTACATTAATTGATAAAAAATAAGAAAAACACACAAACAAGCAAGAGCATGCAAGAGGAAGAAAAAAAACAACAAAATGGGTCACCATTGGGTCAAAATCGAATTTGTGAGTTAACCCAAACCCGATCCACAAATTAAATGGGTCAAAATTTCAAACCCGACTCATTTATTAGATTGGTTAGCCCGCACCCAAATTTTATAAGTCGGGCTGTTGGATTAGGTCATTTATTGACACCCCTATTATAAGCATTAAAACAACTAGGAAATGTAAACATAAACATATTTACATGCACCTTCATGCTCTCATGCATGCACATTTCATTTTAGGTCCACCTCAATTTAAATTTGATTCGTGCTGAACCTAACTCATTAACAAGCTCGTAAATTTCGGAATTGACGAAAAGCTAAACAAAATTTAATCTAATTTTTTAGTCATCTTTATGGCTTGAGTCAAATTCACAACACAAAATTAACTTTATAAAAGTAAAACAAGAAGAAAAAAAAAAGTTGATCTTTCAACTTCATATGTCCACTTCACTTACTACATGGCAAAAGCTCCAGAGCATGAAATTATTCACTTTCAAACTTACCATAAAAGAAATAAAAAGATCATAATCATCTCTTGCATTATACATCAGGAAAAAATATTTTATTTATTTATTTATTTGAATTTTCTCTAGCAAGTCTTCCTCACCTTTTCCCAAAAGTCTTGAGATAAGGAGAATACTTTAGAATCTTGTAGAGAATAGAAGGTCTAGAGGCTGACTACTGAATAGTCATATAAATATTACATAATGAAGAAACCATACAGGCAAAGAAATCAAGAAGACTTTGCACCCAAAAAGTGAAAATTTATTATTTCATAGGACTACTTAGTCATATTTCCCATTTGCCAATGCTTGGTTAGAAGAAAAGAAATTGCATTTTCTAGAAGAAAGCTAAGGATTTCTGGGCTTCTCCACCAGAATAATGCAGAAAAAAATGAATTCCTGCAGTTCATTTCAAAGCAATGATGAGAGTTCAGCATAAGGCATGGGTGAGCTAGAAACAATTTGAGGGAGGTAACATAATAAAATCAAATTTTGTTAACTGAAACTCTAATCTAGATCACATTAGTTGAAAGCCGGCGAAACACCGGCGATAAGTTGGCAATGCCTTCTATGATTCATCCAAGTCCAAATGGAAAATGGCTAGATAAGTCGATTCGAGCATGCTTTCTTCAACTATGTTATGCAGGAGCAATCCTAGGCCTTCATGCCCTTTACAAATATTGAGGCTTCGTTTGAGATGGCTTTCTTACTGCTTCTTAAAGCAGCTTTCTAGTACAAAATGCTTTAAGAACTAGTATGACAGCCGTCCCAAACGAAGCCTGAATGATCTATTTGCAATCTCTTCATTATTTCAGGTATTGACATATAGCATCACATATAAGAAAGCACAATAGATATTACAAGTAATAAGAACAAAGCACTAATTGCGCTTAAATATTCAGAAAACATGAAACAATGATATTTAATGGCCAGCTGATCAACTAATATAGGCTTCGTTTTGGACGGCTTTCTTTCTACTTCTTAAAGCAGCTTTCTAATTTTTGTACTAGAAAGCTGCTTTAAGAAGTAATAAGAAAAACGTCCCAAACGAAGCCATAGTATACAAACAAAAAGAAGAAACTAAAAACATGTTAAACAACTGATTGCAAATGGCATTCATATCATGGTTAAAAGTAAACAGTTCATGAAACAAGTGATACATGATAGTAGAAGGAGCTAATGCTCAGCTTACTTTCTCATAACCTACTCAACATGCAAAAAAAGTGCATAGATTTCTGCATGATGTTCATAACAAGTTCAACTAGTACCTAATAGAAATCTGAAATCTCATCAGAGAAGATCCAGTAATTAGAAGAAAGCTCTGCTCCCATAGAAAACCCTGGGAGTACTTGTCTTCTCTGAAGCCTGTGGTTTCTTGTCAGAAGCAGGATCATTGTCATTACCGGCTTCACCACCGCCATTGTTATTCTCTATATCCATAGGAAGCTTCATCTTAGCTAATGACTCTGTAAATTGCTGCATGCTTTTCATGTACATGTCGACTATCTCCTGTTGTATCACTGGTTGCTCGGGCTCAAGATTGATCTTGATCAGAGGAAGAACATATGGCTTTTCTGCTGCATCAGGGGAACTGGTATCACCATCTGCAACTTCACTGGTTTTGTTTTTCTCAGTTGGAGATTCAGTAGTGCCTGATGGTTCTGAAACAACCTGAGAATTAGCTGCATTTGTCACAGTAGGCACATCAGCTGAACCACTACTTAAAGGAGAATCCTTATCCGCAACTCCAATGGCGATACAGCTATTGTCGGTCGAGAAAATCTGAACATTCCTTTCTTGGGCATCATTATCAGGGCAATCAACACGACATTCGCCGTTTTGAGACTCTGTATTGGGGCATGAAATCCCAAAGTATTCTGAAATCATCATCTTGTTTTCAGATACAATCTTCAAGTCAGGGAACTCTATATTGACATATTCAGAAGAGATTGAGTTATCATTTGCTGCATCAGGTAACACAGCATGTCCAACATTAGATACAATCGCCATAAGCTCTGGAGTTGAACCAGAATAAGATATCGTCAGCGACACAAAGCCGGCAGGAGAATGGAAGAGATCTGTGGAGGAAAGGGAGAATTCCTTTTCCAGTTTACCATTGTTCATGACAATTTGAGAAAGAGGAACAAGGGCAAAGCCAAGTAGCTGGTCTTCAAGATAATTCTTAACCCTACTGAGCATCCATATCTCACATTTGAGTGAGGTATCGACGGTTCGAACATTGAGCTTAAGGTTCTCATTGAAGACTGGAAACCTTCCACCTCCAGTGATAGTCTTGGTGGAGACTGAGGATTCTGGGTCACTGGTGAGGCAAAGCTTGGCATAAACATCCTGGTTTTGGTAGATGCAAATGTTGTGGATGTCTCTTGCTTGGTGAACAAATATTTCAAGAGAGCCGATGAATCCATCCGTAAGAACTTCGGCAATGGAGCTCGGTTTTTCAGAACTGCTGATGAAGGAATCATTTCTGAGCTTGTTAGTTCCAGCCATGGCGGCAAAAGAATTGAATGTTTGGGGAAGGGGTTTGCAGGAGTCCATGAATAAGCCAAGCAAGTTCACCTATACAATCAAAACACTCAAGCAAGGAAAAAAAATATGACAAATTTCACTTCAATAACAAAGTTGAGATGCAGAAAAGCTTGTCTAAGCTAGCTTAGAAATACATCAATGAACAAGTAAGAAAACCTCAAGGCAGCCCTTCCAAAAGTCCCAAAATCCCAACTTGAACGCAAAAAAAAGAGAACAACACTTTAGTAAACTAAGAATTCAAGAAAACCTAACCACTAAATTCCTAATTCTTGGTGCAGAAGCTCCACCAAGACTCAATTATGTTCATCTCAAAAGACTGGAACCCTAACAAATAGAAGAAGCTCGAGGAAACCATCAAATACTGCGCAAAATCAGGAATCTTTGCACCAAATAGAAGAAAAAACAGAATAAAATGAAAGAAAACCAAAAGTAGCACCAACAAAAATAATAAAAATCAAACCTTTCACCAAAAACTCTGAGCAGGCTCAGGAATCCCAGGAAAGCAAGGAAGTTTGGTTCTCTAGCTCACTGCTAACCAGCCATTAAAGAAGAAACAATACTACTCTGAACCGAACTCTCAAGTCAAGACTTTTTGCAGAGATGTTGAAAAAAGTTTGTGCCTTTTGATTGGATGCGCGTGCCTGAATAATTATACCTCATCTGTTATCCAGAGAAAAGGAGAGACTTTGGGTGAAAATTATATATAAAATAATAGTGACCACAATAAATTTATATATAAAAAAAAAGCTTTTTTTGATTCCTCCGTTGGAATGGGAAGTCTTCCGTTTGATTTTGAGCGCTATTGGTCAAATTCGAATAGTCTGAGTAGATTATTCCATCACATTTATTACTTAAGACTTGTAATTCTTCATTAGTTTCGATTTCTGGGAAGAGGATGAAATTTTGTTTTTTTGAGATTAAATTTTGGTTTATGTGAGAAGGATAGCCACCTTTTTGTTTTAGATCACATAAAAGTGATATTAAGTCAAATTTAAATCATTTCCCAAAAAAAAAAAGTTAAATTGAAATAATTATTGATAAATTATAATGAAATATAGTAGTCTAAGAAGTTAGTGAAGCAGATTAATGAGCATGCTCAAGCTCGCATCATCAATAAATGATTTGCGAGTCGAGCTTGATGAGTTATCGTCTTATCGAGCTAAATTTGAGCTTGTATAGACTCCACTCGTTAGATTAAGAGCTGACTTATTTAAAAGGTATTCCTATAAAATAAATTTAAAATATGTTAGAATTTAGAAGTTCAAGTATCAAGTTATTATAAATATTTAAAAATTACATCTCAATTTTTTATATCAAATGATTTTTTTTTATTATTTATCTTCTAAATTCTTTTTCTTTTTTATAATTTTATCATGATAATTTCTTGAATAATTAATCGTTCTTTCTCTTTCATTATAAGCAAGCCAGCTTGAGGGCATTCTCGAACTCACATAATTAAGTTCAAGCTTGAACTGAACTCGATTACGTAATCAAGCTCAAGCTCAAGTTACAGGTGAGTTGAGCTCAACTCGACTCATTTACATCTCTAAAGGAATATAATTAGTTCCCGTTTAAGAAAAATATTTATTATTTATAAACTAATAGTATAGTAACAAAAATGAGTTTAAAATTTTAAAATAAATTATTAAATATTTAATTATTATTTTATTTGTTTTAACTTTGCCTTGATATTGAAGTTTTAGTCTATTAGTAAGAGAGAGAAGAATAAGAAAAAACAAAACCAAATAAAATAAAGATAAAATGTCCTTTTTCTAGAATAGAGTAATGAATAGGATACTGTTAATTGATTGAAAAGCCAAAGCTAATTGTGGCTATAGCAGGTGTGGGGTTGCCTTCTTCTTCTGTGGCTAGGATTTTATTTTATTTTATTTTATTTTTTTTTTTGCGGCTAGCATTTTTTGACCTTAAAAAGATGCTAAAAAGCTTTACACAATTAACATATGGGTAAATTTTTAAAATGATTATCATTAAGAATTTAATTAGTTATTAAATCAATAAAATAAATAAATTTAGAACTATGCAAAGTCGTCTTGCTCAAGCTATAAAAATATTAAAAAAAGATTTTAGGGGAGAGAAAGTAGGAGAGAGAAAAGAAAAATGTATATAAAATGACACAACAGAGTATATAGATAAATGAATTAATCGGTGACGGTCAGAC